TCATTGCACTGTGAATTGGATTTTAATAGCTTATTGATAATCAGATCGTAAAATGCCTGAATGACTCTAAGGAAGTAACATCAGGGAATCTTCTCTGGTGGATGAAGAGTGAGACAATTTTTAAAATTTAACCCAGGTGAGAAGCATGGATAAAATGACCAGATGATTAAAATCTATGCATCTGTTCTACTCAGTATCTTCCAAAAATTTCATCACGTCTGATAGCCTGTGAGCTCCAATTCTACTTGTGAGCTCCAATTCTACTTTCTAATGGAAATGAATTAGTGAAATGGTGTCAGGAGAAAATAGTGTTGTGCTCAAAGACAGTCAGGTTAAACTCAGAATTTCAACCTAATAGGGCTCGGACGTAAACGAGGGACTTCAAAAAGTTTGTGGAAAAATTCCGTTATCTTTTCATTCCACTTTCCCACAAGCTTTCAGAAGCTACCTTGTCCAGTGAGAGTTAGACCCTGACAGGACTTTCCTGTTTTTCTGGGTCATTTAAGTTTCCTCTTTGACAGAGTAGAGTTCATCACTCATTTTAGTGGGAACTATTTGTGAATTGTCTTTCTCTGACAGGTTTCTGTCTTATACAAGTTTCACTGTAACCAATGCTAAGAAATACAAAGGCTTCTAAAAGGCACAGGGACACCAGAGAAATAGAAACACACTTGAAACCATCTGCCTGCCCTTTGTCCTTCGTTCCTTCCTTCCTCCCTCCCTCTCAGCATCATTCCGCCATAACTCTGCCAGTTGGGTCTTGTTCAAAAGGTTCTATAGACAAGTAGACAGTGAGATAAATACTGGCACAGAGGCATGGACAACATGTCGAGGGACGGAAGAGGAACCTCGACATTGCCTGGGGAGACCAAGACAGGTTCACGAGGGAACCAGGGCAGCCGATCCCTCCTTTCAAATTTACCCCCGGGAACGGAAACTCCGGTAGAGGTTCCCCCAAAAGCCTGGTGTTTGTTTTTAGCAACACTTAATGACGGTTAGGGAAAAGTACTTAAAATATACCACTCTCTGAGTCTTTATTCCCTGTAAAACAGTGGAGCTTCTCACTCAGCTTGCTCTTTGGAACGAGGCATTCCCGTTTATTTTGGCAACCAGAGCAGCAACTAAAAGCAACATTAGAGAGTGGCATGGTTTCCGCCCATCAGAGTTATCTGCTGCTGGCTAATGAAGCAGAGAAGCATGTGTGACAGGCCCAAGGAAACCCCTGAGAGCCCTCACCTCCTACGACCTCTCACCTGCAGGAACAAGGAAAGCTTGGAGAGTTCGAAAAAGCGAGTGCTCAGAGGGGTCACAGGGAGCCCAGGCTAAATAGAGTGGTGAGCTCTTTCTCATTCCTATTGGGCAGTGCACTATAGCTAGAGGGCACAATGGGGTCATGGGTATTTGACTTTTCCCAGGGAGAACTCAACACCCACCTCTGGGCATTTCCTAGTGTGGCCCCCTCAAATACATTTTCTATCACAAAGTTTCCTCCACTCAGAGGCCTCAGGGGCAAGGTACCTTGCTTTGTGTACAGTATTTATAGTTCAGAATACATTATTTAAATAGCACTCCTTCACTTATGATCTGAAACAATTTGCTACAGTTTTGCTCCTGAATTCCACACTGTGGCTGAACTTCATCTTCTCTTTCCCATGCATCCCTGTCTAACCTGGCCAGCTTCTATATGCTATCCACAGACCAGACTCACCTACGATGCCACAGTCTGCAGGGAGCATTCAAGAAATACTTTCAGGAATAAATGAAAAGTAAGTGCTCGAAACACACTGTTTCTTGACTCATGCAGTGGCCAATGGAAGCACAACGCACCTACCTCTACAAGCTAAGACATTCTGAGTTCTTGTCCTTTTAAATTTCCTTACACCAAAGCATCATCTCCACACAAGCTGATGAATGGGAGTAAACTTAGTATTTGGGAAGTAGCCCTAAAACAGCCAAGTTTAGTGCTTCTTAACCTTTCCATTAAACAAAACAAAAAAAGCCTAGGAAACAAAGGAACATGTACAAGTACCCTCAGAGAGACCCGAGGATATCAAAAGTAAGCTTGGAATTTATGGAGGTTTTATATCTTACCTGAAAAGTGGTTTAACTTTTGCATTTAGTAAGTTATCTTCATGAGCCCTAGTAGTGGGTTACCAGTTGGGCTGCAATTCACAAGTGTAGCAGTTCAAATCTACCAGTTGCTCTGAGGTGGAAAGATGAGGTTTTCTGCTCCCATAAAGATATACAGCCTCAGAAACCTTACACCGGGTCGCTATGAGTCGGAACAGACTCCACAACACACCACCACCAAGTATCCACCACCTTTGTTTTTAATTATTTAAATGATTTGACAATAGTGCCTTTGTGTGGCCCTGGCCCACTGGTGGGAATGAGGCATGTGTATTCCAGCTAAGAAACCAGTTGCTGTGGAATCAATTTCAACTCACAGCCACCCCACTTGTGTCAGAGTAGAAATGTGCTAAATAAAGTTCTCAATGACTAATTTTTTGGAAATAGAGCACCAGGTCTTTCTGTTGAGGTAGCTCTGGGTAGAATCAAAGCTCCAACCATTGGGCTGGCAGCAAAGTGTATTAACTGTTCACAGCTAAGTTATAATGGGCCCATTATAATCATAGCCCAGGCCCATTATAGAAACCAAGTTGTTAGGTGCCACTGAACCAGTCCCAACTCATAGCAACCCTGAACGGCTGGTGGGCTTGACCCACTGACCTTGCAGTTAATTGTTCAGTGCTTACCCTCCAGTGCCTCACCAGGCCCCCATGTATATAAATAGAGGTATCTATTTAAGCCGTCTCACAGCTGTCTTGAATGGGCTAGCTACATAGTATCTGAAGAGCAAGCAGCTTCCCCAGAAAGAGCCGGCAGACTGGTCTGCAGTCTTGAAAAGCAAGGCACATCCCTAGAGCCTCCGTAGTCTCCCCAGGAATGACCTCTGACCGTTTGACATCAGTAAGGGGTGCAGAAGGCAGATCTGGGAGAAGGCTGGAGACAGACACATAGGGAGATACACAAGCCAATTAGAGCAGGTCTATAAATATCTGATAGAGGTTACCAAGCTGGGGGTCAAACTCCTGTCACTGACCTTTTTGTCTCTGGGGTAAAGGAAGGGCTTGTCTTCAGCTGCTGGGGAGCAGGGCTGGGGGGAGAGTCCTAGTCCTAAGGATACCTTAATAGGAGATATTCAGAAAATAAACGGAAGCATACCATTTCTATAAATGCTAAATTCTGTCCATGAGTTTTCTCGGGAGGATTAGCCAAGCATTCTTCAGGCTGCACTGAAGGGGTCTTTTAAATATGCATTTTAAAGCCCATACTTTTTTTTTATTATTATTTTAAACAAAACGGGTGGGGTGCAATGACTCTAAGGACAAGCACTGGACTGTAAATTATAAGGTCGGTGGTTTGAACCCACCAGTTGCTCCATGAAAGATGAGCCTTTCAGCTCCTGCAAAGACTTGCAGCCTCAGAAGCCCTATATAGAGTCGATATGGGTCAGAACTGACTTGATCCTCATCATTAAAAAAAAAAATTAAGACAGTGGGTCAGAGGAGGACTCCAGGTTTGTTCTGTTAGACCCCACACTTCCCTGAAGCGTTTCCTTACTCTGGTAACAAATCCCAAGGCAAAATACATAGGAAATGTTGAGAAAGCCAGAAACACAACGAGCTGCAGTCTTAGGCTCTCTGAAACCTCACTTTCTGCTCCCATTCCTTGTAGGTGCATTACCCACGGGGAGTGGAAACCACATTATCCCTTAACTCAACCTATTCCCACATTGTTGTTGTTAAGTGCTGTCGAGTCGGTTCCGACCCATAGCAACCCTGTTATCGGGTTTCCGAGGAGCAGCTGGTGAGCTTGAACGGCTGACCTTGCAGTTCAACAGGCTTTGTAGTCTGGCGCATTAACCCACAGTGCCACACCAGGACTCCCCCTTGGAATGTCCAGAGGGTGTCACAGAGAAGTTCCCGGGCATTCTTGGGCCTCACCATGGTGACTCACGAGGCCCTCAAGCAGATATCCCTCTCTTGAGCCACCTTTAAACCAAAGGCCCTTGTCAAACAACAAGATCCCGTAACTGCAGAATGGGTGGGCTGTCAGATTCATTGGCCAGGAATTGGGGCATCATGCTTCTAGTCTACTGCTCCTCACCCCCATCCCAACTCTCCAAGCTGTGTCTTTCTTTAGTTCTCTGTGCTTCCTGTGTAAAATCCAGGGAGATCCCGTCTCGGATCTCTCAGCACCATTCAGGCTCTGAAACATCTAGGGCTATAATTTCCTACCAGCAGAATTCAGAGCCTCACTTGACCCTCGTCAGTCTCAAAACCTTTCTTCTAATGAGCTTCAGATTCTGGCAGCCAGAAGGTAACTGCTCTGGGCTGTCCACAGGGCAAACAGGGAAAAGTTTCCAGCTAATAATAGTCCCTTGTACAGCACTTTATTCTTTTTTAAAGTGCTTTTAATCTGTAAAGTGACAGGCCGAAGGGGTTGAGAGGCTCGCCCAAGGCCAAACACCCCGCGATTGGCAGGGGCCATGTCTTGTGCCTTTGCTTCTCTTCCTGCCATAGACTCCTTGTTCTGATTGTCCTGGTTCCTCTATGGGCCTTGCCATCTTTGCCTGTGTGAGCAGGCCTGCAGCACTGTTTCATGCTCCGCACTGGAGGAGAGGCAGCCTGACAGCGTGGACATAAATGGAAGTGAAGCAGCAATCCAGGCCCACTGCGAAGCCCATGCCACAGGAAAGTTAGTAAACACCCTTCCTTCTCCCTCTTGGTATCTGCTTGCTCAGAACTGTTTCTGTATTTTATGGCATGCAGGCTTCCAAACCCTTAGGATGCAGCCTCTCACCTGCTCAATTTAGGGATACCATATATGTTCATCATAGAAAACAGAAAACAAAGAGCTCCTGATGCATCGCATTGCAATCAAACCAATGGATGTCTCTCTCTTAGCTGCGGAAAGATCTAGTCTTGGCCACTTACCACGTCGGTGTTGGTGATCTTGGCCAACAGATCCGTCAGAGCATCTCTGGTGAGGGAGCTCACATCCTCATCCTGCTGGAGCCCACAGACGGCTGCTCCCACACTTCCAGTTGCAATCATCGAAGGCGGGTACATGGCAAACTTAAAGTCTGAAAAACAGAGAGCAGGGGTCAAGGGAAAGACTCCGGTTCCAGGAGTTCCTGGGTCTTCATGTATTCAGAGACAGGATGGCGATGCGTCAGCTATACAAATGGCCCTGTACCCTGTAGGCACATCCTCCCCAAGTTCTTTAATTATAAGAAGCCCACTAACGTACTTGCCACCATTCTGGCTGTCCTGCAGTAGCGCAAATGGTATGGCACTGCAGGTTAATGAGCAAAGTTGGTTTGAACCATGAGGTTGATTGGTTCAAGCTCACCAGCTGCTCCTCGGAAACCCTATACAGGGTCACTATGGGCCGGAATCAACTCAATGGCACTTAACAACAATAACAACTAACCTAAAGATTGGCAGTGTAAACCTACACTCTGCTGCCATGAAACAAAGGTTTTCAAAAATCTGCTTTCATAAAGACTAGCCAAAAAAAGCTTATGGAAGAATCCTACTCTAACACATGGGATTACCATGTGTTAGACTCTGCCTGTAGGCAACAGGCATGGTGTTTGGGTGGCTAGCCAGGTTTAAAACAAAGAGGCTGATACATGAGCATTGGTCTAAGCAGGGAAGGTACAAGAGCTTAATCGAAACACTGAAGTCCCACATTATATACAGGGTTAGCAGGACAGGTCTGGTAGGGCAAGGAGAATGAATGAGACAAGGTCTCCCTGGGGCTAACATAGAGCAGAGAATGTTGACACCAGCATACTTAGATAAGATGCCTTTTGTGCCATCCAAGTGGCACAATTCAAGGCCTCCAAATCCAAAGGCTGTGGAGAGGACAAATTACTGGCAGGTAGAGGGATCTAGCAACATTTTATGAAGATTGATAATCCAGAAGAGACATTGTCCCTTAGACATCCTTCCTGCGTGGAACTAAGTAACAAACCGAGGGATTAACGTTCAGCCAGACAACAGGCAGGCCGGTAAAGTGAATGAAAACACCAGGGAGGAACATACTCAATACAATCAGCCATAGGAGATCAAACTGGCAGCATCTGTCCAAATACAAAGCTCAGAAGACAAGAAGGGCCGCAAATAAACACAGATGGACAGGGGGAACTCGGGGGAAGTGAGACCAGGGCTGTCACACTGAGGGGACTGCAACCAACGTCACAAAACAAAATGTGGATAAATTAGTGAATGAGAACCTTACTTGCTTTGTAAACTTTCACCCAAACTATAAAAAAAAAAAAAAGAAAAAGAAAAGGAAAAGGGGGGTGAGGGGAGGAGAGAGCTTGTCGAATTATCTGGGCAGGTAACTGGTCCAAAACAATAACAAAAAGAAATGAAGATTGATATAATCACACAATTTCCAATTTTTGATCCAATGCTAAGGACTCTGAGAACATGAAGACAGGACTTGAATCAGGCACCTAAGAGGATGCCTGACTTGGCTTAAATTTGATGGCACTGAGAGGAAGGTCCCATTTTTCTTGATGTCAAAAAACAAAAATGGTTTGCTAGAGAAGTGCAAAATGAAAACAAATTTGAGGGACTCAAAAAGTCCTCTTCACCATTTCCACTTCTCCAAACGTGAAAAACAGAACATTGCTATGCACCGGAAGCTGGGCTCATACACCTGGGCTTCCTCTGAGCTGTCCCCAATAGGCTGGCTGACAAGGATCCAGCGATTTCCCCATCCAGAACAGGGAGATAAAGATGCCCATACCTTACTCTTGTTGCAGCCGCTAACCTACCAATTACCAACATGTACAGTACTGGATAAACTTCACAGCCCACTGGGTTCACAGTCACTGGGGAAAGGACACATAATTATTACCCTCATCATGTTTTGGTTGAGGAACCTGAGGTTTTGAGAGTTTTAAGTTGCCCTTACTTACCCCTACAGCTTATGTTGATTCCATTACCTTTTAATTCCATTTTTCCACAAACTTTTTGAAGCCCCCTCATATTTTGTCACTCATCCTAGTGCCAGACCTTAGCAGGAGAAAGGTCCTTCATGGTTTATCCTCTCTAGTTCTACATGCTAAGTGCTGTTGAGTCCATTTTTTACTTGTAGTAACCCCATGTGACAGACTAGTGCCCCATAAGTTTACCCAGGCTGTATATTGGTTTGAACCTCAAGGTCAGTGGTTCAAGCTCATCATTCACTCTTCAGAAACCCTATACAGGATCGCTATGGGTCAGAACGACTCAATGGCCCTTAACAACAATAATCTTTATGTTTTCCTTCCTTCTTATGCAATGCTCTATCTGAACACATACTCTATGGAAGCACTTTTAACAGTGACCCCATTCTCCCAGGTGGACCACTGAAGAGTATAGGGACTGTCCTCTCATTTCAATGGAATCCCACAAAGGCAGACCCACGTCTGTCTGTCTCTCCTGAATTTCCAAGATAGCTTTTCTTAACGCACTCACCAGTTTCTACCTCTAGAAGGATGAACATTATACATTATGGCATTCCCCACAATGTCTACTGTCCGCTGGCCTCTCCTATGACAAAGCCGGTCTCCCTGCTTCCTGCTCTGCTGTAGGTCTGCTGCCACATGGGGCCACATGAGAGTGTTTCTCTGCCCAATAACCTCGTTAGCTCCCCCGGTGACATTCATAATGCAAGGGAGGCAGCCAGCTCATGGCCCTGGGCCCACACATGCCCTGGGTGGAAGCATCTGGCAGGGAAGGGGCAGACTTCCTGGCCCTCCCTTCCCTCTGCCACAGTACCAGGAAGCAAACCTCACACATGCCTGTCTTTGTAACCCCACTGCCTGCATCACCAACCCCAATTCAGTTCATTAACTTCTGGGAGCCAGGGGGCTGTAAGTGGGTTGTCCTGGGAGGAGGGTGCACAGAAACTGCATAGAAAGACTATTCCCTCTCCTTGTTCTACTAGCAAATTGCAGAGGGACGTTCTTTGTAGGACACTGTCCTCCTGATCCCCAGAACTAGGCAGTACCGTGTGCATGGATGTGCTACTTCAGCCAGTCATAGACTAGCAGATCCCACCCTTGGCAAGACAGGAGCCGCCAGAGGGCAGACCAGCCGTGCTCCTTCCTTTCCCTGGCTGCCCGTGATAGCAAAGCCCAGTGTCTTCGTCCAGGCTGCTTGAGTGTCTGCTCCGTTTTCCTCTGGGTCAGCCAACCACTGAGGCAGCATTAGCACTAAGGCCAGGCCCAGACTGGACCTTGGGCAAGTCTTGTTCTCACTTGGCCTCTGTATTCTTATCAGTCTAAAAGGGGGTTTGGCCACGATCAGTATTTTTTCAAATTTCCATCTGCAACCCTTAGTAGGTTCCAGAACCCATTTGTGGGTCGTTATCCAGTTTATTTTTTATTGCATAGCATAGTATAGAAAGTATCAGAAAGTACTGCATACAGTAAGAGTAAATATTGTTTAGAGAAACTTTTGTATCAGTTTCATGTAGCATGCAGGCATATCCTGAGTCCTGATATAAAATGTATTTCTTCTTTCAGGACTTAAAGGTCAAAAGGTTTGAAGATAGGGGGTTGGGTAATATCCAGGTGCCTTCCAGCTCCAGTTTGCTCTGATTTAAAGATCTACAATACGACTGAGGCTGAAGGAAAAGAATAAGGAAGAGACAACAGAAAAATTGCTCAGCTTCCTCTAGCCAGCAAAATTACATGCATCCATGCATCCCTTTCCACAGAGCAGCAGCAGGACCCCATTCAGGGACATCGACTCCCAACCCTGCTGGCTAAGAGGGAAAAGAATAGAGAAAAAAAATGCAAAAAATGAAACATCTGAAGGATCATGTCTCTACTATCTAGTTCATCACCCTCTCACCCTGAGAAAATCCAGCCCAACCCATTACTGATCACCTTAAACTGTGGCTATGTAACAGGATGGAGAAATTTTCCAATCTGTGCTTGGGGCAATGGGGGAAGAAAGTCACACTGATTATATGCATTTGATGAGCACCATAATCTCCCCTCCCCCAATATGTATGTGCATGGATACACAGTTGTTAGAGTGCAAACTCACAGCAACTCTGTAAAGGGTTTCCAAGGAGTGGCTGGTGGGTTTGAACCTTGTGGTTGGCAGTTCTGTGCTTATCCTATAGCGCCACTCTAGTACTCCACACAAATACAAGCATACCTCACCTAATTGCAATCTGCAGATACTGCAGTGTTTGACAAATTTGAGCTGCACCGAGCTCAGCTATTGGGAGTCCTGGTGTGGCACTGTGGGTTAATGCGCGGGACTCCAAAGTTGCTTTAAACCACAGGGTTGGCAATTTAAGCTCACTAGCTGCTCCTTGGATACCCTTCACAGGGTCACTATGGGTCAGAATCAACTCATTAGTACTTAACAACAACAAAAACAACCCCAAAGCATGTGCTCACTTTGTACCTCTGTATTACATTTTGGTCATTCTCACAATAGCTCAAACTTTTGCATAACGCTATTGTATACTTGATAGACTATGTTGTTGTTGTTGTTGTTGTTGTTAAGTGCTGTCGAGTCGGTTCCGACCCATAGCGACCCTGTACAGGGTTTCCGAGGGTGTAACTCTTTACGGGAGTAGAAAGCCTCATCTTTCTCCCGCAGAGCTGCTGGTAGTTTCGAACCGCTGACCTTAAGGTTCGCAGCCCAATTCGTAACCACTACGCTACCAGAGCTCCTATAGTGTAGTGTAAATATAACTTTTAGATGCACTAGAAAACCTCAAAATTCATGTAACTATTGTAGTGGGCTAGACTGGGTGGGACCCACCATTATCTCCAGGCTATGTCTACATACGAGTCCTGGTATGGTGCTGTGGGTTAATGAGCTGGACTGCAAAGTCAGTTTGAACCTCAAGGTCAGCGGTTCAAGCTCACCAGCTGCTCCTCAGAAACCCTATATGGGGTCACTGTGGGTCAGAATCGACTTGACAGCACTTAACAACAACAACAAATGTCTATATAGATACATACATATGTATGAACTAGAAGGATGCACAGGAAATGAAAGCTTTTTCATTAAGCTGAGGGAATAGTAGCAGGTTTGTAAATTTTTTGTTCATGCT